CCAGGTTCTGGCAATTACAAATAATGCTGCTATGAACATAGTGGAGCAGATGCCCTTGTTATATGAATTTGCCTCATTTGTATATATGCCTAAGAGTGGAATTGCTGGGTCTTGTGGTAGATTAATTCCCATTTTCCTGAGGAATCTCCATACTGCTTTCCAAAGAGGCTGTACGAGTTGGCACTCCCACCAGCAGTGGAGTAGAGTTCCCCTCTCTCCACATCCTCTCCAGCATAAATTGTCTTCGGTGTTTTTGATTTTAGCCATTCTGACAGGAGTAAGATGGTATCTCAGAGTTGTTTTGATTTGCATTTCCCTGATGGCTAAGGAAGTTGAGCACTTTCTTAAGTGTCTCTTGGCCATTTTAGCCTCCTCTCTTGAGAATTCTCTATTTAGTTCTGTACCCCACGTTTTAATTGGATCCTTTGGTGTTTTGGAGACTTGCTTCTTGAATTCTTTGTAAATTGTGGAGATTAGCCCTCTCAGATGTAGGGTTAGTGAATATCTTTTCCCATTCTGTGGACTGCCTTTTTGTCTTGTTGACTGTGTCCTTTGTCTTACAGAAGCTTTTTAGTTTCAGGAGGTCCCATTTGTTAATTGTTGATCTCAGTGTCTGTGCCACTGGGGTTATGTTTAGGAAGTGGTCTCCTGTACCAACTCGTTGAAGAGTATCTCCCACTTTCTCTTCTAAAAGTTTCAGTGTGACTGGATTTATGTTTAGATCTTTGATCCATTTGGACTTAAGTTTTGTACAAGACGATAAACATGGATCTATCTACAGTCTTCTGCATACCAGTACCCAGTTATGCCAGCACCATTTGTTGAAGATGCTTTCTTTTTTCTATTGTACAGTTTTAACTTCTTTGTCAAAAATCAAGTGTTCATAGGGATGTGGGTTAAAATTAGGGTTTTCAATTCGGTTCCATTGGTCTACCTGCCTATTTTTGTGCCAATACCAAGCTGTTTTCTTTCTTTTTTCTTCTTTCCTTTCTATCTCTCACTTTTTATAATCCCCTTTCTAATAAAAATCTGCTCTACTTGAACCCTGCCAAACAGCATCTTCTCTCACTCGAGCTGGTTTTCTTAAATTACAACACCTGAGGTTGGGCAATAGAATATATTTTATGAGTGGACACTGAGTGTTTGTAGTTTGGAATAGGAGTATCTTGTTGGTTATGGGAGGAGAAAAAAGATTGAATAGAGAAATTTGAAGAATGACAAGTAAAACTGATGGGTATTTTGGTGTGGTAGGAATACTTAGAGCAGGCGATGCTTCCTGAAATACATGAAGGTGATATAACTGAATTCTCAAATAGAGAGGTATACAGTTTCAAGTGGTCATATGCAATCACCAAATTAAAGTTCCTGTAACAGGACTGCTGTCATTTCTTTTTAATTATAATCAAAGTGTTCCTGAGAAAATTCTTAAACAATCCAGCCTGCTGTGAAGACAATTGATTCCTCTCCACGAACTGACAGAAAGGCCCTATTGCTGAATACTATACCTACAGAATTCATTAACATATAAAGATCAAGCTGTTACCTACTTAAGAACTTTACCTACATGTTCTAGTGTCATTAGTATAGAAAGATATTCTTCAGTTTATCAAAAAACAAACATTACCGACAGAGCCGCAAAACATTAAATGTACAATCATTCCTCATTACAAGAATTCTATGACACTGGCAGCACAAATTTATGGGAGTAATCAACCAATGTGTAATTTGACGTAAGTCTCACTCCAAAAGATAGAAGCCTTATTTGGCACTCCTAAGAGGACACATTGCTGAGTACCTAGCCAAGAGACATAGGGTAAAACCAGATACTCATGTTCCAAAAGAAATACTCTGATAAAATTACTCTTAAGGATATTATAATATACTCACGGATCAGAAAGTTATTGTGCCATCACCAGAAAGTCTTCCTCTCCTTTAGCCAATGGGAACAAACACAGAGACGCACAGTCAGATATTATGTGGAGAGATTAAGAGACCTGAAGACACACACCTTTAAGTGGGAGGTAACTATAATAGTCCTCCCCTCAGAGATCAAGGAACCATTCAGAAGTGGAGCCAGTAGAAATGAGGAAACCAAAGGGCATGTATGACACCAGGAGAAAAAGACCTTCTAATGAACAAAACTCATGTGAACACAAATAGGCTGGAATAAATCACTGGATCTACATTGGTCTAAATCACATCCTTGGAATATGCATTATAGCTTACAGATTAATGTTTTATGGCATTTCTTCATCTGTGAATGAGTGTACATATTTTCTTGTGCTTCTCTTGGGGTTCTTTTCCTCATGTTGCTTTGCCTTGTCCATCTTTGAGGTAGTAGGTTTTCTTTTATATTATTATATTTTATTTTTTAGGAGTCTCTATGCTGAGAGAGCTTCCCTCCATGTGGAATGGGCTCCCAAATTTCATTCATAAGTGGGTAAACACTGATCTACTCTTCAAGGCTCCAGAGAATGCTGAGGCCTCCTCACTGACCTAGGCCCTGCTCCAGATGAAATGACAAACTCTGGAGATCCTACATGGTGGGTGTCACCCTCCCTGGGGAATGGTTTGAGGATTGGGTAGGAGGCTGGGGGAGCTGGTGGAGTGGCAAGGGTGGAGGGGAGGGAGAGGGAGTTGGGGTTGACATGTGAAGCACGCATGTTTCTAATTTAAATAAAAATATATTGAAAAAGGCTCTATGAGAAATATATCTAAAAGATTTTCCTTTGTTTGAAAGTGAGTAATCAGTAATTCTTTCTTTTCATAGGTTTATTCATATTACATTTGAGTTCATAGAGGTAAGAGTAGGTAGTTGGATTCTCTAGAACTTAAATTACGAATAGTTATGGACGTCGATATGGGTTCTGGGAATAGAACCCAGGTCCTCAGGAAGAGCAGTCAAGGTTCTTGTCCACTGGGGCCATGACTTAATCCCCATTAATCCATATCTTTAAATGCAGTATTATATTTTAACTTTCCTATTTTCAAATTATACAAACCTTGTGAGTATGAAATTGCATCCAGGTGACTTAGATATGAAAAAATGGGAATCATCATTTTATGACAGTCCTACAAATGAATGAGAATGAATAACACAAAACCTTGAGAAAAATTAATGAGCATGTTGGAATTTTGGGGAATCCCTTACATGTTTAGTGTGAGTAGAAAATGAGGCAGCTAGTTTTGCAGGCAGTACACAGATGCCTTTGTAAATAAAACGACAGCTATGTTAGGGTCCATCCACATTTCTAAGGGATTTTCTGAAGTTACATAAGACAGGATAGCACATAGAAACTTGCCTGTCCAGGTTTGTTGCAGCCTCATTCAGAATAGTAATGATATGAAATCACCTTCGATTCTTGCCAACATATGAGCAAATGTAGAAAATATAACATTGAAATTTTTATTTCACTTCACATACAAATAGTGATTATTTCTATTTACAAACTATTAGAATTTTCAGAGTTTTTTCAACAAATTGTCTCACTTAAATGTATACACAGTGATTTTTCACTGTCAGTATCCAGTTACATAGAGGATTAAGAGGATTAAGTACAGTTGGTATGTAATTCATAATGTATTGATGCTAAAGATGAAGCTAAATGATTAATGCTACTAGGCCCATGGTTCAATTACATAAAATAAAAGTCAGATGAAAGGCGTGCCAAATTTATATGTATATGTTAAGTGGCCCTCAGCCTGGAAGAATTAAATGATATCTTTAGAGGAATAGGGGATGAAACAGGACATAATCATGTTAAACTCAAGAGCCCGCTTTGGGAAATTAAGACTTTTTACCAACTCAGAATGAAACAGTGTGTGTCTGTTGGTCTTTTAGTCGGTTTGCCCATTGCTCTTTCTGTCTGCCTTTATCATTCTCACTACCAATCTCCCTCTCATGGTGTGTGTGTGTGTGTGTGTGTGTGTGTGTGTATCCTGCGTGTGCCTGTGTGGTGTATGTATGAGACATACAAATATTTTAGATCAAAAACAGGTATTTTTGAGCATTTGACATAATTGGGGGAAGCAAATCGTGGGAAAATACATAACAAAATATCATCAGTACACTCTACTCCCAACGGTTAAGATTCTAAAAAGCAAAATAGAGTAGTTGACTGTGACAATGGGAATATGATTTTACACATTCGACATAGGGTCATTGCACAGTTAGTATTTATTACTAAGACCATTAGCACAAGTCTTTTTTAAGTAACTCCTGGAATGTAAATTAGCAAAACAATACAAGAAATTAAACATAAAGTATTAGAATTTTCTCATCACAAAGCGTCTGTGATAACTGAGGGTGAGAAAGGCAGATTCTTGTTTGGAACTCAAATTCTAAGTTTTTTCTCTCATAAATAATGGTGGCTTGGAAGGCAGAGTGATAGACCTGGTGCAGAATTAAATAAGGCATTTTCTCTCTGAATATTTTTCAATTTTAAAAAATCAACATTGAACATGGAAATGAATTGCAATTCTCTAATGAGATGGATGACTGATGCTCCACAAATTAGTCTCACTAGTAATGACAGGGAGTTTTTAATGTAATGAGCCATGTGTAACCATGTATTCTGACTTGTGTGTCCTTCCCTGTAGATCATCTCAGAAAATACAGTCAACTTGTTTTTCATAGTGTTACCATAAAGTGAGATAGTCTTGGGACCAAATTTTCTAAAAATGTGTTCCTCCAAGGGACATTATAACCACAAACATGAGTGATATCATGGAATGAGAGACTGAACTATCCCCTTATACGTGTATCAGCCCATGTTTTTCATATGCACTGTGCACCCAGATGCAGAGCCCCAGGGAAGACAGTGTCCAATATTTCTCCAGGGGTTAAGAAACACCTGGGAGAAAAAGGAAGCACAGATTCGAAAATAGCCTCTCATTTGCCCAAGAAATAAAGGCAAGTAGTCAAACTGGGTATGCGATTAATATGCTTCTCCACATGACACTTCACAATTCATGCTGCCCTGGTGTAGCACAGCACAGAGATGTTCATTGTCATTTCCCTCTTGCTGCTTCTGAACATTCCAATCTACATGGCCACTTTTATGCATCCCAGGTGCTTTTGGAAAATGAAGCAGAGTGAAGACAAGGATGGTGACTTGACGAAAAGTTGTGCCTTCTCACCCAGAGAAGTTCAATGGCAAGTGGATAAAGAGTATTTCAAACAATTTTTGAATATACAGTAAGTGCTTTGCATTTTTCCACGTATATATCATCATTAATGTTTTGAGATGGGTCTTGAAACTTCTGTCCTCTTCTCTGAACTTACAGACTAACAACTCCAAGTTCTTTTAGAGACTCGTTGCTATTTTACAGGGTTTTTGCCATGTGTGTATTCTGTTTTTCTTCCAGTTAGTTTCCCACTTACTAGGCTCGAAATAGAAACAAGGAAGCAGTCTCTATCCTGATGCATCACAAAGAGGCCTCCTGTTGACATTGTCCATAGCAGAGTATTGTCTCATGGAAAGAAAACTAATAGTATTTCAATGAATTTCATCCTACGAATATGAAAGTAAATAGCCGAACTCCAGGAAAAGAGAGCGAGACTTCCTGTGCGCTGTCTTTTATGCCTTCCCCCGTAACGCCCCTAGCCATGCCCAAAAGTGGGCTTGGCTAGTGACGTAGTTCCGCCTACGTACGTATACGTCTTTACGTCCAGCCGTATACGTCTTTAGTCCTGCCTAAAGTGGGTGTGGTTAGCGGTGTGGTAAACCGCCCTTTTATTACCTCATCTGTATGCGCCTCTAGTAAGTCACATGTTTAATGGCGGCATAGACTTAGTAAGTCACATGTTTAATGGCGGCATCAGACTTCCTCCTACAGTAATCAAACTGAATTATTTAGTAGGAAAAAACATGAGGGTCAGATATGCCCACTTTGAATATGTGACACATCTGTGTAAAATGAAATAGTTGAAAAATACTGTAGTGAAAATACATAACTTTAACGTATGCAATCAGGACTTGGGCAGGTGTATTTTTGTGCATTTGGTACCAGACTAGATTATATAAAAGAGGAATTAAAAACCAAGTGATTTGTGCCCTTTTGTGTTCAAAGTTAGCATTAATATTGTCAAACACACAGGGATGCACATATATACATTTTTTACCAAAAAGGTTTTTCTGCTGTAAATTCATTTAAAAGTAAGTATTAGAAAAGAATTCTTACCTGCAACAGTAAATCTGAAAGAAAAACATGACTAGGATTTAAATGGACAGGAGACGATATGTTAACTATATTGTCCGCTAATTATCATGAACTGTAAGTCCATAGCCAATTGTTCCCCATAAAGACTATTGTGGACTCTCCTATCATTTATTGACAAACTTAGTCATTGGGATAATTTTTAGAAGACACTCCTATAAACTCTTCAGCTAGCACACCATATATTTTTTATGTTATTCAATAATTTCAATGAAAATGGCTATGTTTACTACTTGGACAAAAACTGTGCCAATCTACACATTCTGAGGAAGGTCCCATTTGTTAATTGTCGATCTCAGTGTCTGTGCCACTGGTGTTATGTTTAGGAAGTGGTCTCCTGTACCAACTCGTTGAAGAGCATCTCCCACTTTCTCTTCTAAAAGTTTCAGTGTGGCTGGATTTATGTTGAGATCTTCGATCCATTTGGACTTAAGTTTTGTACAAGGCGATACACATGGGTCTATCTGCAGTCTTCTGCATACCAGTACCCAGTTATGCCAGCACCATTTGTTGAAGATGCTTTCTTTTTTCCATTGTACACTTTTAGCTTCTTTGTCAAAAATCAAGTGTTCATAGGTTTGTGGGTTAAAATTAGAGCTTTCAATTCGGTTCCATTGGTCTACCTGCCTATTTTTGTGCCAATACCAAGCTGTTTTCAGGACTATAGCTCTATAATAGAGCTTGAAGTCAGGTATGGTGATGCCTCCTGAAGTTCCTTTATTGTATAGGGATGTTTTAGCTATCCTGGGCCTTTTGTTTTTCCATATAAAGTTGATTAATGTTCTTTCCAGGTCCTTGAAGAATTGTGATGGAATTTTGATAGGGAGTGCATTGAATCTGTAGACTGCTTTTGGCAAGATCGCCATTTTTATTATGTTGATCCTACCAATCCAAGAGCATGGGAGATCTTTCCATTTTCTGGAATCTTCTTTGATTTCTTTCTTTAAAGGCACAAAGTTCTTGATATACAGGTCTTTAATTTCCTTGGTTAACATTATCCCCAGATATTTGATGCTGTTTTTGGCTATTGTAAAGGGTGATGTTTCTCTGATTTCTTTCTCAGTCACATCATCATCTGTATATAATAGGGCCACTAATTTTTTTGAGTTTACCTTGTATCCTCCCACATTGCTGAAGGTGTTTATCAGCTCTAGGAGTAAACTTGCAGAGTTTTTTGGGTCACTTATGTAAACTATCATATCATCTAAAAATAGTGGAAGTTTGACTTCTTCTTTTCCTATTTGTATCCCCTTTATCTCCTTTTGTTGTCTTATTGCTGTAGCTAGAACTTCAAGTACAATATTGAAGAGATATGGAGAGAGTGGACAGCCTTGTCTTGTTCCTGATTTTAGAGCAATTGCTTTGAGTTTCTCTCCATTTAGTTTGATGTTAGCTGTTGGTTTACTGTATATTGCTTTTATGATATTCAGGTACGTTCCTGTTATCCCTGATCTCTCTAGGACCTTTATCATGAAGGGATGCTGGATTTTGTCAAAGGCTTTTTCAGCATCTAGTGAGATGATCATGTGGTTTTTCTTTCGCAGATTGTTAATATGGTGGATTACATTGATAGATTTTCTAATGTTGAACCATCTCTGCATTCCTGGAATGAAGCCTACTTGATCATGGTGGATGATTTTTCTGATGTGTTCTTGAATCCAGTTTGCGAGTATTTTATTGAGTATTTTTGCATCAATGTTCATGAGGGAAATTGTTCTATAGTTCTCTTTCTTAGTTGTGCCTTTGTGTGGCTTGGGTATCAAGGAAATTGTAGCCTCGTAGAAAGAGTTTGGCAGTAAGCCTCCTGCTTCTATTGTGTGGAATACTTTGAGGAGTATTGGAATTAGCTCTTCTTTGAATTTCTGGTAGAATTCTGCACTGAAGCCATCTGGGCCTGGGCTTTTTTTATTTGGGAGACTTTTGATGACTGCTTCTATTTCATTAGGGGTTATAGGTCTGTTTAGATTGTTTATCTGTTCTTGATTTAGTTTTGGCAAGTGATATCTATCCAGGAAATTGTCCATTTCCTTTAAATTTTCAAATTTTGTGGAGTACATATTTTCAAAGTATGCTCTGATGATTCTCTGGATTTCCTCAAGAGTCTGTTGTTATGTCGCCTTTTTCATCCCTGATTTTGTTAATTAGCATGCTCTCCCTCTGTCTTTTGGTTAGTTTGGACAGAGGTTTATCTATTTTGTTGATTTTCTCAAAGAACCAACTCTTTGTTTCAATGATTCTTCTCGGTGTTTTTCTGGTTTCTACTTGATTGATTTCAGCCCTCAATTTGATTATTTCCTGGCGTCTGCTCCTCCTGGGGGGAGTTTGCTTCTTTTTGTTCTAGAACATTCAGCTGTGCTATTAATTCTCTAGTATGACTGTTCTCCAGTTTTTTCATGTGGGCACTTAGTGCTATAAAATTTCTTCTCAGCACTGCTTTCAAAGTGTCCCATAAGTTTGTGTATGTTGTGTCTTCATTCTCATTGAAATCGAGGAAGTCTTTAATTTCTTTTTTTATTTGTTCCTTTACCCAGGGATGGTGCAATTGTGCATTGTTTAATCTCCATGAGATTGTAGGGTTTCTGCGATTTGTGTTATTGTTGAATTCTAATGTTAATGCATGATGGTCGGATAAGATGCAGGGGGGTTATTCCAATTTTTTTGTATCTGTGGAGATTTGCTATGTTTCCTATTATGTGGTCAATTTTAGAGAAGGTTCCATGTGGTGCCGAGAAGAAGGTATATCCCTTTGTATTTGGGTGGAATGTTCTATAGATGTCTGTTAAAACCAGTTGGGTCATAACTTCTATTAGTTCTTTTGTTTCTTTGTTAAGTTTCTGTCTGGAGGCCCTGTCTAGGGGTGAGAGCAGAGTGTTGAAGTCTCCTACTATTAGTGTGTGATATTTTATGTGCGTTTTGAGCTTTAGTAATGTTTCTTTCACGAATGTAGGTGCCTTTGTATTTGGGGCGTAGATGTTTAAAATCGAGACTTCGTCTTGATGTATTTTTCCTTTGATGAATATGAAGTGCCCTTCTTCATCTCTTTTGATTGATTTTAATTTGAAGTCTAATTTGTTAGATATTAGGATTGCTACACCCGCTTGTTTCTTGGGACCGTTTGATTGGAAGATCTTTTCCCAACCCTTTACTCTGAGATAGCGTCTCTATTTGATGTTGAGATGTGTTTCTTGTATGCAGCAGAAGGAAAGGTTCTGTCTTCGTATCCATTCTGCTAGTCTGTGTCTTTTTATAGGCAAGTTGAGGCCGTTGACATTGAGGGATATTAATGACCATTGATTGGTGGTCCTTGCTTGTGATTGAGTTATTGTTAGTGAAGCTATTTTGTGTAGTTTCTCCTCCCTTTTTCTTTTGGTGTTTTGTAAAGTGTGATTATATATTGCCTGTGTCTTTGTGAATGTAGTTATCTTCCTTGGCTCTAGGTTTTCCTTCTAGCATTTTCTGTAGAGCTGGATTCATGGATACGTGTTGTTTAAATCTGGCTTTGTCATGGAATATTTTGTTTTCTCCATCTATGGTAATTGAGAGCTTTGCTGGATATAGTAGTCTGGGCTGGCATCCTTGTTCCCTTAGCGTTTGTAGGACATCTGTCCAGGATCTTCTGGATTTCATCTTTTCCATTGAGAAGTCAGGTGTAATTCGGATAGGTCTGCCTTTGTATGTTACTTGGCCTTTTTCTTTAGCTGCTCTTAATATTTTCTCTTTACTCTGTAGGCTTGATGTTTTGATTATTATATGGCGAGGTGACTTCTTTTTCCAATAGGTTAAGCCTATTTGGTGTTCTGTAAGATTCTTGTACTTTCATAGGCATCTCTTTCTTTAGGTTAGGGAAGTTTTCTTCTATCATTTTGTTGAATATGTTTTCTGTACCTTTAAGTTGAATTTCTTCACCTTCTTCTATACCTATTGTTCTCAGGTTTGGCTTCTTCACGGTGTCCCATATTTCCTGGATATTTTGTGTTAAGGATTTGTTGGTTTTGAGATTTTCTTTGGTTGACGACTCTATATCCTCTAATGAGTCTTCAACACCTGAGATTCTCTCTTCTATCTCTTGTATTCTATTGGTGATACTTGCATCTGTAGTTCCTGATCGTTTACCCAGCTTTTCTATTTCCAGCATCCCTTCATTCTGTGCTTTCTTTATCGTTTCTATTTCAGCTTTCAATCCTTCAACTGTTTGAGTTGTTTCCTTCATTTTTTTGGTTGTTCTTTCTTGGTGCTCTTTAGATTCTTTGAGAGATTTGTTTATTTCTTGAATTTTTCCCCCATTTCATGGATTTTTTGTTTGTTTTTTTCTTCTATTTCTTTAAGGGATTTCCTCGTTTCTTCTTTGAGGGTCTCCAACATCTTCATGAAATAATTTTTAAGGTCTGTCTCCTCTTTTTCGTCTATGTAGTGCTTTTCAGTTCTTGCTGGTGTTGGATCCCTGGATTCTGGTGGGGTCATGTTGGTGTTTCTATTGCTGAGTGATCTCTTATTCTGTCTTCTTCCCATTTCTTCTTTCAGTGGGTGCTGGTGGGGTCTTTCTGTCTCCGCTTGTCTCCTTCCTTCCTGCAGCTGAAGCTGGGGATGCTGAGACGGAGTTTGGGTCCTGGTAGGGCTGATGTCTTTTCTGAAGCTGGTCTCACAGGGGTTGGGGTCTTGGAGTTGTTGACTTCTTTGCTGTGTGGGCAGGTCTCCTGAAGCTGTACTCGCTGGGGTTGGCGTTTTGGAAGGGCTGATGTCTTTCCTGATGCTGGACTCACTGGGGTTGGGGTCTTGGAAGGGCTGATGTCTTTCCTGAAGCTGGACTCACTGGGGTTGGGGTCTTAGAGGGGCTGATGTCTTTCCTGAAGCTGGACTCGCTGGGGTTGGGGTCTTGGAGGGGATGATGTCTTTCCTGTGTGGGCGGGTCTTCTGGATGCTGGGAGCGGCCCAGAAGTTCAAGCGGGATGGGGGAAGGGCAGGTGGTCCCCGCCGGAGACCCAATCTCACCTGAAGCTGGACTTGCTGGGGTTGGGGTCTTGGAGGGGCTCTAGCTTCCAAATTCTTATGTCTTTACAACCACACAACAGAAGATATTTGTTTCAATATTTGGGCAAGGTTGCTCATACTGTTCAGTACAAGATAGTACTTATATTGAGTACAAATAATTATGTATTTGTTCATATTAAACACTGTGCACTTTTACAGAACACCAACTGAGAACTACAAGTTTGGACTGGCCTTGGCATTTACCCTGGATGAAGTAAACAGGAACCCTGATATATTACCAAACAAATCTTTAGTATATGATTATGATGAAAACGATTGTTTGACTGTGTCTCAATTTTACAGTCTCAGTCGAATTTTGGGACAAGACCCTGGTTTTTTCCCTAATTATTACTGTGGGGAAGATATCATGTGCCGTGTGATGCTTACAGGACCAAATTGGGAAGCAGCTGCAATACTTATGACATTCTTAGACCTCTGGAAATTCCAAAAGGTAAGAATTTTACAGATTGGGTTTGACTGCAAAGGTGTCCTCATGGATGTCATTCCCATACACTAAAGATGTGTTAAGTGAGGACAGATCATACATTTTTATCACTCTATGTAGCTCATTAGTACTATTCAGAGAATGATGGGCCATAAACATTTCCTGATTTGTCATACACATGAGAGAAGAAGTAATAGCTAAGGGAATTAGGCAAGGGGGTTTCATAGAACTCTTTGCAGAAAAAAAAAGGTGTCTCAAAGGTTATGACTGAGTTGAACCTCATGCTTCTCCCTGAATCCTAGGTGATTCAATTTACCTACGGATCCTTCCATCCAATCCTAAATGATCATGAAAAGTTTCCCTATCTGTATCAAATGGCCCCCAAGCACACATCTCTAGCCTTGGCCATGGTCTCTGTCATGCTTCACTTCAGCTGGAACTGGGTTGGACTGGTCATCTCTGACAGTGATCTTGGCATTCAATTTCTCTCATATTTAAGAAGAGAGTTTGGAAAAAATACAGTCTGCTTTGCCTTTGTAAATATAATTCCAATCAGTATGCAATTATACATGTCAAGAGCTGAACTGTATTATAACAAAATCAAGGCATCATCCACAAAAGTTGTTATCATTTATGGTGACACAGACAGTACTCTTGCTGTGAGCTTTCGAATGTGGGAATCCCGAGGTTTACAGAGAATATGGGTCATCACCTCACAGTGGGATGTGACTACAAGTAAAAGAGACTTCATGCTTGACTCATCACACATGATTCTAGCTTTTGCACACCATCATGGTGATATTACTGGTTTTAAAAATTTTGTCCAGACAATAAACCCTCTCAGGTACACAGATAAATACCTTGCAAGGTTGGAATGGATGAATTTTAACTGTGAAGTCTCCAGAACCAACTGTAAGACACTGAAGAGATACTCATCAAATATCTCCATGGATTGGCTAGTGGTACGGACTTTTGACATGGCCTTTAGTGATGGCAGTTATGACATATACAATGCTGTGTATGCGCTGGCCCATGCACTGCATGAGATGGATCTTCAACAAGTAGATAATCCAGCAATAGACAATGGGAAAGGACGTGGTTCTAATTGCTTGAAGGTAATACTTCTTCTATTGCATGATATTTGGTGTCAGCAATGTCATATCTTTAGGAGTCTTTCACATGCCTAAACTCAGTGAACTAGAAAGTATACCCAGCAAAAGGAAAATATCTGAGCATTTTGTTTTTCTGTTGAGGGAGTAAACCTAGAATTTAGTAGAAATCTCTAATGCAAAGGCAATGGAGCACAAGACAAAATGCATCAAGCACAATCAGTGATTTTCTTACTGAGCTTGTCAACATCATCACCCCTATTCTAATACTGTAAACATTGTCAGTCCTTACTCATGAATACTTCCCATCTTTATATTAGGTCTTTTACATTGATCATCAAGAATACTGTAAATTGTACAGGGGATGATAGTCATAAGTCTTCTCAAATGATTACTTCTCCACTATCAGCTCTGGAGATCACAGCGGGCACTCTGATAGTTATCACACAGGCAACACTGCTGTGATTCAGTTCAGTACATACATGCGCATTCATATGTGTTACTGAATGATTCTCTCTTGATATGAATATTTGTCATTTTTTGTTTGTCTGTATATGTCTTCATCCATAGGTTTCTATGGGTATTTGTCTGTCTTCAGTGTCATTCATAATGAATTCATCTGTGACTTTCTGTTTGGGTATTTTCCAGTGTGTATCTAACAATGTGTACTTGGCAGTGAATGTGTGTGTATGAGACCACATTAACATCTTAGTGCCTACATAAATATATATATATTTTCATTGTTCTCTGTGTGTGTGTGTGTGTCTGTCTGTCTGTCTGTCTGACTGTCTTTCAGTGTGTGGATAAATATTTCTCTTTGCCAATGATTCTGTCTTTGGTGTTTGTACGTGTATGCTTTTCCTTGTATGTATTTAGGCATGTGTGCATTCCTGTTTATGGGTTTCAGTGTTTTTATATGGATGTTTGGTGTCGTTTACTCAGCATATATATAGGAATCCAGGGCATGTTTCTATGTATATGTGTTGAAAAAATTGTATGGCAGTATTTTGTTTGTATTTTTTAATAGTTTTAGGTATTCTCTCTCTCTCATGTGTTTCTGTGTGTGTGAGTGTGTTGCATAGCTGTGTTTGGTGTCTGCATGTATGTCTAGGTATATGTTTGACAGGTTCCTCTAAGGGAAGTAAAATTCAAAGATAATTATTATAACTTTCTTTATTCATTTACTTTTGGCGATATTGCTCCTCTAGCCACCTGCGATAATGTTGCCATTAAGATGAAAATCAGAATTTTTTTCTTCAGTAAGGAGCAAACACAATATAGGATGCTGCCTGTCTTACAGCTGAATGCATTTCTGAAGAAGACCCAATTCACAAACCCTCTTGGGGACAGAGTGAATATCAACCAGAAAGAGGACCTTCAGGAAGAGTACGACATTTTTCTGATTTGGAATTTCCCACATGATCTGAGAGTTAAGGAGAAGATAGGAAAGTATAGCCCATATTTTCCACAAGGTCAGCAGTTCCATGTGTTTGAAGAAATGGTAGAATTTTCCAAAGGAAATACACAGGTGGGTCTGACCAAACTGAACTCACAGTAGTAACACTGTCAAGCTGGATCATTCATGCTTCTTTGATACTTAATGTAATAAATTGTCATATTTTGAACCAATATCAAGCCTCCTACTTTATGATTCTTCTTTTCTCCTTTTTGATGTGAGACATAATTAACCCTTTGAGGATTTCCAACATGCATATAGTGCATTTTATCTTGTCCAAACCTGATTCTGGTTATAAATTTGAATACAAACCAGATGTCAAAGTGACATTATATAATTTCCAGTAAACTGAGCAATATTCTCTTGGTAGCATACTGATTACCTTACAGTGATTTCTTCCCTTGTGTTGAATCACGAGCACAGATGTTGACAAGTTCGGCTCTCTTAATGATTGAGTAAATGAAAAATACACAAATCTTGCATATTTATTATTTAATTTTGTTTAATAGTTTTAAAGAGTTACTGAATTGTCAAAACTCTAACAATAAATTAATATTTTTAGGATGCATATTACATCTGTGAATTATAACATTATTTTTCTTTCTTTTTGCTTTTGTGCATATGGGTGTTTTCTCCTCATGCATGCTTACAACTGCTGCATCTGTGGTTCATATAGATAACAGAAGGGTTATTGAGTCCCTAGGAAATGGAAAAAGGGTGTTTTCCACACAGCGACTGCTAGAAATCAAGTTTGAGTCTTATTAATGAGCAATAATTGTTGCCTACCACTGAGTGATGTCTCCTGCTCTGAATCATACACTGTAAATATTTTATCAATAGAGATATCTTGCATGTTAAGACTAATTATTTCATAGTCCACACAAACCAATAAGAATGTGTCTAGTATTCTTCTCTTATTTGAAGCATTGATAGTAAAAAAAATAGATTTTCAAGAAATTTGTAAATGAAATATCCCATTTTTGTTCATAGGTATTTTATAAGTCTGGTGATAATGGTTTTAAGGTATCCAATTCAAACTTCCTAGTACAAAGTTGGTTAAATTTGAAGACAGCAACTTAGGCAAAGTCTTCAAAAATAATCTGAGGTGATATCTCTGGTTACCTAGATAGTATTAGACATAGAGATTCATTCTTTCCTCAAGTGAGATTCAGTAAAAAGAAGATATATGCTGAAAGTGAATCTACTGACATATTTATCCAGACAGAGGGCAGCAACGAAAGTGGATGTGTTTTCTACCCACACCCTGATTGAGCATTGCAAAAACATTCACTGGAAGTACACTGAGGATTAAAGACAATTCAACCAGAGATCTGCTTTCAGAAATGCAAATTAAAAAGCAGAACCAAACAGCAAACGAATACACAGGAAGATATCAAAGGAACATGACCCAAATCTTACAATCATAAACTAAAAGGAGAGTATTGTCAATGACATACTGAATGAGGAAACAGAAGAAGTATTGCATAAAAATTAAAAAGTACACAAATCTTTCTTGGAGAAAAAATGAGATCATGAAAACTTCCATACAATTAAACACAAAATGATCTTGTGACAAAGGATTTCTCTAAAGGTACAAAACAATACAAATTGCCCAAAATAAAATTATAAAGTTAAAGCAAATGAATAAAAATATCTCAGTTAAAATACTCACCAAGAGAATATTTCAAGTTGAAGACAGGAGGGAAGACTTGAAGAACCGGAGTAGGAATAGAAAATTCAAAGTATGAAGAAAATAGTTGAAAAGGAATAAAACACCTAGGAAATCAAGTCAATATTACAAAGATCAAATTTACAAACAATGTGCCCAAAAGGAGAAGGAAACACTAAATTCCTCAACATTGTATCAGGAAAATTAGGTTCAAATTTATAAAACATAGCATGATATATAAACAGATAGATATAATAGTAATTTAAATACCAAAAATTCAACATCAGAAAAAAGAAGCCCTTGGTTTATTTTATTTAAAATTTTTATTCTAAAAAAGAATGAAATTTGAAGACTACAGGAGAGAAGTTCCAGTTTTAAAAGGGTCCATCTGGAAAACAGCAGATTCTACTGAGAATACTCTTAAAAAGGAAAGTCAATGATATATTTCAAATACATAGAGACATATGTTGCCAACCCTGGTTACTACAGCAAGCAAAATTACTCCCAATTGTAGAAGAAGACAGAACAAATTCAATAATGGAAACTTTTACAAAATGCTTTTAAAAAGGGGCAAAACTATAAAAGCACTGGAAGAACACCTACAGATGAAAAAGCAAGATAAACACAAGAGGTCAAAGAACATATAGCTATCACTGCAACAACAGTCAAACAATCAACTATTGTAAGAGTATAAAATATTTCAATAACCAAATATGACAAATAGTTTTCAATAAGAATTCAATGTCAGTGGTCACATTTATAAAATACAACGCACAGAAAATAAAATCGATTTAAAAAACAAACAAACAAACAAGCATTCATTTGTTACCCTCATAGGGAAAATATGTGAGAACACTTCTATAACAGGAGGAAAAGCTTTTCTATGAAGCGAAATTGAAAGAAGTAAATCCAGAGAACAATATCATGGATGGACATGAACCTAATAATTTTGGAGTGAACACCTCCCAAGAGATATCAACAACAAAACAGAATGATCAGTCTGTATAACCAAAATGACTTCACCTCAAGTATGGAAGCTTGCTTCAAGATATGCAGAGGTTAAGAGTAAAAGAACACATTAATAAACTCAAGGATAGAATTCAATTATTATCTACAATTGTGCAGATTGTACACTTAACAAGTCCAACTTCACTGAGATTGAAAAATAAACATAAAAGAAACAAAGACTGACAGAATACAACAAAAACATATTGACGTATTAAGTTTTTCTGTAGAAAATATATTGACAACATTGTATCACATGGAGAGAAAAATCAAAGAATATCCATTAAAGTGAGATGGTGTCAGGGGTGTATTGTGCTGCCTGTCTGTAATACAAACTCCTTGAAAAAACAATCAGGGAACTATTCCTTTTTAATGGAACCTCAGCTTACATGCAGAGATCAAGCCAAACAGTGATCTGCAAGGAATTCTGAACTTCTGTGAAACGAGCAGAAAATGGATAATGGTATGCATTGTCTCCACTCTTATTCAAAATACTGCATAAAATATTATCAAATTAAACAATAAATGAAGAGACATACAAAAGTGAAGGAATGAAAATTGTCATGGTCAAGGAAGTTTACATAAACCGATAGCTTCACACTGAAACTTTGCTTCAGCAAAACAGAAGGAGAAAAGGAAGCATTGTAGTTCTCCACACTTGTGGAGAACATCAGATGATTCTGTGATTAGGTGACGCTCTTATTTTGGCATAGAAGTTAGCACAAAACAAAAGATGCAACGTGAACAAGCAAGAATCAGGAACCTTCTAATGCAGCAAACAGATGACCACAAGCAGGTCCATGGTAATCAAAGATACTACATACATTTTTTCAATTAAATATAAACGAGGCAACTTTTATTCCGGGTACCCACGCATTCATAGTCTTTATTGGACTTTCCACATTAGAAAAGACTTTACCTTCCAGGTCACTACATGTCAAGTCAGCACTTCCTCACGACAAAATACACTGGGTCTGCCCATTCAGCTCTCTGCTCGTCACACTTTGTATGTCATTCTGCGCAGTACTATTTTATTGGAGTTAATGTTGTTGTCTGAGATTTTAGAAGATAGTTCCCTGGTTTCAGATGCCCACTAATCTTATTTTGCTATTCAGTTGTTGTGAGCAAGTAGTGACCATAAATAAATGAAGAGGGAATGGTTGATTTAGCTCAAGGGTGACAGTCAACGGAAGACCAGGCAGAAATCTGGAGACTGCAGCCAAAGTACAGGCCCTGAAGGAACAGGGTAAATTGGCTTGCTCTCCTTGAATTTATCATAAAGCCCTGCTTAGGGACAACAGCACCCATTAACAATTAATAAAATTCTTTGAGAGATTTGTTTATTTCTTGAATAGGTGTTGAAGACTCATTAGAGGACATAGCATCGTCAACCAAAGAAAATCTCAAAACCAACAAATCCTTAACACAAAATATTCAGGAAATATGGGACACCGTGAAGAAGCCAAACCTGAGAATAATAGGTATAGAAGAAGGTGAAGAACTTCAACTTAAAGGTACAGAAAACATATTCAACAAAATCATAGAAGAAAACTTCCCTAACCTAAAGAAAGATATGCCTATGAAAGTACAAGAATCTTACAGAACACCAAATAGGCTTGACCAGAAAAAGAAGTCACCTCACCATATAATAATCAAAACATCAAACCTACAAAGCAAAGAGAAAATATTAAGAGCAGCTAAAGAAAAAGGCCAAGTAACATATAAAGGCAGACCTATCCGAATTACACCTGACTTCTCAATGGAAACGATGAAAGCCAGAAGATCCTGGTCAGATGTCCTACAAACGCTAAGGGAACAAGGATGCCAGCCCAGACTACTATATCCAGCAAAGCTCTCAATTACCATAGATGGAGAAAACAAAATATTCCATGACAAAGCCAGATTTAAACAACACGTATCCATGAATCCAGCTCTACAGAAAATGCTAGAAGGAAAACCTAGAGCCAAGGAAGATAACTACATTCACAAAGACACAGGCAATATAGAATCATACTTTACAAAACACTAAAAGAAAAAGGGAGGAGAAACTACACAAAATAACTTCACTAACAATAAATCAAGCGCAAACAAGGATCACCAATCAATGGTCATTAATATCCCTCAATGTCAACGGCCTCAACTTACCTATAAAAAGACACAGACTAGCAGAATGGATACGAAGACAGAACCCTTCCTTCTGCTGCATACAAGAAACACATCTCAACACCAAAGACAGACGTTATCTCAGAGTAAAGGGCTGGGAAAAGATCTTCCAACCAAAGGCCCCAAGAAACAAGCGGGCGTAGCAATCCTAATATCTAACAAATTAGGCTTCAAATTAAAATCAATCAAAAGAGATGAAGAAGGGCACTTCATATTCATCAAAGGAAAAATACATCAAGATGAAGTCTCGATTTTAAACATCTACGCCCCAAATACAAAGGCACCTACATTCGTGAAAGAAACATTACTAAAGCTCAAAATGCACATAAAATCTCACACACTAATAGTAGGAGACTTCAACACTCCGCTCTCACCGCTAGATAGGACCTCCAGACAGAAACTTAACAAAGAAACAAAAGAATTAATAGAAGTTATGACCCAACTGGGTTTAACAGACATCTACAGAACATTCCACCCAAATACAAAGGGATATACCTTCTTCTCGGCACCACATGGAACCCTCTCTAAAATTGACCACATAATAGGAAACATAGCAAATCTCCACAGATACAAAAAAATTGGAATAACCCCCTGCATCTTATCAGACCACCATGCATTAACATTAGAATTCAACAATAACACAAATCGCAGAAACCCTACAAACTCATGGAGATTGAACAATGCACAATTGCACCATCCCTGGGTAAAGGAACAAATAAAAAAAGAAATTAAAGACTTCCTCGATTTCAATGAGAATGAAGACACAACATACACAAACTTATGGGACACTTTGAAAGCAGTGCTGAGAGGAAATTTTATAGCACTAAGTGCCCACATGAAAAAACTGGAGAACAGTCATACTAGAGAATTAATAGCACAGCTGAATGTTCTAGAACAAAAAGAAGCAAACTCCCCAGGAGGAGCAGACACCAGGAAATAATCAAATTGAGGGCTGAAATCAATCAAGTAGAAACCAGGAAAACATTGAGAAGAATCAATGAAACAAAGAGTTGGTTCTTTGAGAAAATCAACAAAATAGACAAACCTCTGTCCAAACTAACCAAAAGACAGAGAGAGAACATGCTAATTAACAAAATCAGGGATGAGAAAGGGGACATAACAACGGACTCTGAGGAAATCAAGAGAATCATCAGGGCATACTTTGAAAATCTGTACTCCACAAAATTTGAAAATTTAAAGGAAATGGACAATTTCCTGGATAGATATCACTTGCCAAAACTAAATCAAGAACAGATAAATAATCTAAACAGACCTATAACCACTAATGAAATAGAAGCAGTCATCAAAAGTCTCCCAAACAAAAAAAGCCCAGGCCCAGATGGCTTCAGTGCAGAATTCTACCAGAAATTCAAAGAAGAGCTCATTCCAATACTCGTCAAAGTATTCCACACTATAGAAGCAGGAGGCTCACTGCCAAACTCTTTCTACGAGGCTACAATTACCTTGATACCCAAGCCACACAAAGACACAACTAAGAAAGAGAACTATAGACCAATTTCCCTCATGAACATTGATGCAAAAATACTCAATAAAATACTTGCAAACCGGATTCAAGAACACTTCAGAAAAATCATCCACCATGATCAAGTAGGCTTCATTCCAGGAATGCAGGGATGGTTCAACATTAGAAAATCTATCAATGTAATCCACCATATTAATAATCTGCGAAAGAAAAACCACATGATCATCTCACTAGATGCTGAAAAAGCCTTTGACAAAATCCAGCACCCCTTCATGATAAAGGTCCTAGAGAGATCAGGGATAACAGGAACGTACCTGAATATAATAAAAGCAATATACAGTAAACCAACAGCTAACATCAAACTAAATGGAGAGAAACTCAAAGCAATTCCTCTAAAATCAGGAACAAGACAAGGCTGTCCACTCTCTCCATATCTCTTCAATATTGTACTTGAAGTTCTAGCTACAGCAATAAGACAACAAAAGGAGATAAAGGGGATACAAATAGGAAAAGAAGAAGTCAAACTTTCATTATTTGCAGATGATATGATAGTTTACATAAGTGACCCAAAAAACTCCGCAAGGTTACTCCTAGAGCTGATAAACACCTTCAGCAATGTGGCAGGATACAAGGTAAACTCAAAAAAATCAGTGGCCCTATTATATACAGATGATGAAGTGGCTGAGAAAGAAATCAGAGAAACATCACCTTTAACAATAGCAAAAAACAGCATCAAATATCTGGGGATAATGTTAACCAAGGAAGTGAAAGACCTGTATATCAAGAACTTTGTGTCTTTGAAGAAAGAAATCAAAGAAGATACCAGAAAATGGAAAGATCTCCCATGCTCTTGGATTGGTAGGATCAACATAATAAAAATGGCAATCTTGCCAAAAGCAGTCTATAGATTCAATGCAATCCCTATCAAAATTCCATCACAATTCTTCAAGGACCTGGAAAGAACATTAATCAACTTTATATGGAAAAACAAAAGGCACAGGATAGCCAAAACATCCCTATACAATAAAGGAACTTCAGGAGGCATCACCACACCTGACTTCAAGCTCTATTATAGAGCTATAGTCCTGAAAACAGTTTGTTATCGACACAAAAATAGGCAGGTAGACCAATGGAACCGAATCGAAAGCCCTAATTTTAACCCACACACCTATGAACACCTGATTTTTGACAAAGAAGCTAAAACTGTACAGTGGAAAAAAGAAAGCATCTTCAACAAATGGTGCTGGCATAACTGGGTAGTGGTATGCAGAAGACTGCAGATAGATCCATGTTTATCGCCTTGTACAAAACTTAAGTCCAAATGGATCAAAGATCTCAACATACATTCAGCCACACTGAAACTTTTAGAAGAGAAAGTGGGAGATACTCTTCAACGAGTTGGTACAGGAGACCACTTCCTAAACATAACACCAGTGGCACAGGCACTGAGATCAACAATTAACAAATGGGACCTTCTGAAACTAAAAAGCTTCTGTAAGGCAAAGGACACAATCAAAAAGACAAAAAGGCAGGCCACAGAATGGGAAAAGATATTCACTAACCCTACATCTGACAGAGGGCTAATCTCCAAAATTTACAAAGAACTCAAGAAACAAGTCTCCAAAACACCAAAGGATCCACTTGAAAGGTGGGGTACAGAGCTAAATAGAGAATTCTCAGTAGAGGAGGCTAAAATGGCCAAGAGACACTTAAGAAAGTGCTCAACATCCTTAGCCATCAGGGAAATGCAAATCAAAACAACTCTGAGATACCATCTTACTCCTGTCAGAATGGCTAGAAACAAAAACACCGAAGACAATTTATGCTGGAGGGGATGTGGAGAGAGAGGAACACTCCTCCACTGCTGGTGGGAATGCCGACTCATACAGCCTCTTTGGAAATCAGTATGGAGATTCCTCAGGAAAATGGGAATTAATCTACCACAAGACCCAGCAATTCCACTCTTAGGCATATATCCAAATGAGGCAGGTTCATACAACAAGGGCATCTGCTCCACTATGTTCATAGCAGCATTGTTTGTAATAGCCAGAACCTGGAAGCAACCTAGATGCCCCTCAACTGAAGAGTGGATAGAGAAAATGTGGTACATTTACACAATGGAGTATTACTCAGCAGAAAAAAACAATGGAATCTTGAAATTCGCAGGGAAATGGATAGCACTGGAAGAAACCATCCTGAGTGAGGTAACCCAGTCGCAAAAAGACAAACATGGTATGTACTCACTCATATATGGATTTTAGATATGGATCAGGATAGTGCCAGTCTGCACTTCCACAGATAGAGAGTCTGGGAAACAGGAAAGAACCTAAAAGATATGCATATATGCATAGTACCCAAGAGAAGAGGATGGAGACAAGATCCTCTGAATGGATGGGGAACAGGGCGAGGGGGGTAGTGGGACCTGGGAAGAATAGAGGGGGTAAAGAGGAAGGGAGTTGGTCATGGGGGAACAGGAAGTTGAGGGGGTGGGGGTAGAATAGGGGGAAGAGGGAATCATAGGATCGAATACAGATCAGGCACCAGAGTGACCTCGAGTGATCTAAAGGTATAACATCAATTGGCAAGCTAAGCAATAGTGGAAGGACCACCTCGAATGCCCATTCCTGATAATGAACTTGATGTCTATAACTATCCGGGAGCCTACATCCTGGGACTGATGGAAGCAGAGGCAAACACACAACTAAGCACTGAACTGAACCCAAGGAACCCAGTGACAGAGAGAGAGGAATGATGAGCAAATTGGCAAAGAATGGGCTGGCAAAACCAGCAGAGACAGCTGATCTGAACAGGGGAGTGCTCTTGGACCCCAGACCGACAGTGGGGAGGCCAGAATGGGACTGATCTGGACCCCCCCAAATGTGAGTGTCAGCGAGAAGGCCTGGGCAACCTATGGGGCCCTGAGCTGTGGATCAGTGTCTATCCCTGGTATACAATCTGTCTTCATGTGCCTATAGCACAAAGAGAGATGCTCTCTCAGCCTGGACTCTTAGGGGAGTGCCTTGACCCTACCAAGAGTAAAATGATAGACTCTAGACATCCCCTATGTGGAAGGATTTGGCAATAGGGTGAGAGGGAGGGTGGAAGGGGAGTGCGGGAGGAGGGGAGGGAGAGGGAACTGGGATTGACATGTAAAACAAGCTATTTAAAATTAAAATAAAAAAAATAAAAAAATAAAGTATACATGTTGAATATCACAAAAAAAACAATTAATAAAAAGCTATACACATAAGCTGACAGACTAGCCTGAGAAAGAGTATTTTTATTTAAGCTTCTCTATGTCTTTTAAAAACTGTACTTCTTGTCATGTGGTCATTCAGTTGTTGTGTATAAAAAAAACCTCATTAGTATCTAAACATAAAGCATAATAAAGTTATGAGAGGAGTAGGTAAAACGTTTGCTATCACCATGTGTCTGATTTTCCTTAGATGCCACGCTCTGTGTGTAGTGCTAATTGTGTTCCTGGCTTCAGAAAATTCTGGCAGGATGGAATGGCAGTCTGCTGTTTTAAATGCAGGCCCTGCCCAGAGAATGAAATCTCCAATAAAACAAGTGAGTATTAAGGCAGTAATAAATCCTTTATTTTGAACATTCCTTGCACCCTGACCCTGGGATGCTGAAGAGGTCTGGAAGTGATTTGCACAAACACAATATAATATTTACCTAATCTGAGTTTTATAAAAATAATTATCTCTGTACCTGTGTGAAACTTCTCATGACTTGACCCACATATTGACTCATTGTAAATTCATGGCAGGTGGCATTTTCTCAAAGAGACGGTTTCTAAAATCAATGTATAGTGTTAGAGAATTTTACACAAGGACATTCCAGTGATTAATCTCCTCTAAAATTACATGTAAATTATATTTGGGTCTTCAATCATTCCGAATTATGTAATCATTTTGCATATATGTGTAACCACATATGTTTATACATATGCACAGGGGTCCACAGAAAAGATAATAGATAGGGAAATGAATTCGCTTTACTCTGTAATGTGCATGCTGGGTATCAAATGAAAATAATCTGTAATATTAATTAAGAGAGGATATTATTACTGTTGAATTTTCAGGAACAGGTGGTAGAAAAAAAAAACTACTTGCAATTTCCAAAGAGCTCTTATCAAAGTTACAACTATATTGAAAACTGAGGAAAGTAGGAAATATTTTTGAAACATAATATGAAAAATATGTTTAATAATTGTATATACTTGATCCAGTTATAATGTCACAAAATTAGCCACAATTATTAAAACAATATTATGACCTATACTCCCCATATTAGTCAAATTACTATTTATTCTGGATTGACTAAATAAAAAGGTAGGCTAATGGTTTTTCACTGTTTTGCCTGTCATTCTCTATAATGAAATGAAAGTTCATAACAGATATTTATGGCCAGTTAGATGATTCTGATGTTAAATCATGGCCTCTAACACAGATAATTTGAAATCATCTTCAGGACCCACGTCATAGAAAGAACTCCATTCAGTCTCACATGAAACATATCCCAAAGTCAATAAACCAAGTATCTTTAACTGTTTGATGTAAAAACATAAGAATAATGAATATTTATGAAAAATTATCAAAATATCTTTATTACTACTTTCATTATGTATATGTATGTGAGGTTGGTGTTTAAATGCATATAAGAGACAGTGCTGAAGAGGGCAAAACAATGCCTCTGTAATTAGTTTCACAAATTTGTGTGACTCCAGAATTTATAATGAGAGGTGAACTCGGGTCTTCTGCAAGAGCAGTACATTCTCTCACAGGTGAAGAAAATTCCCAGATCATTTAAAAATTGACAAATTAAGTACATAAAACATTGTTCTAGATAAATTTCTCTTTTGGGGGGGTTTGGATGCTGACCTGGAACTCACTCTGTGGGCCAGGCTGACCTCTAACTCATAGAGATCCGCCTGTCTCTGCCTCCCAAGTGCTGGGATTAAAGTTGTGTGCCACCAACGACTGCCTCTAGATAAATTTCTTACAATATTGAAGATCCACTATCACTGTCTGAAATTATCCAGTGATATAGAGTAACTACTATTTGTTTTTCTGCACTTACTACACTAGTGATCACAACTTATAAATAGGGTATTATTAATAAAAACAACACTCTGTATTAATACTCTGCCTTAAGGACTCTTGTGTTATCTGGCTAATGCTGTTTATCAGTATCTGCTTCACCATGGAGTACATACACAGAGTCTGGGTCTAACAGAGATGAAAATTAGGGAAGGAGGAAGGTGTTGTATATTCCCAAATGGAGCAGAATCAAGAAGCAGGGGCATTTTAATGCTAGGTAGGTACAGATGATTCTAATTTCAGAGGTAGGCTACCGATTTTCCTGAACAAGACTTGGGAGGTGGCTGTTGTTACTGCCAGAAGAAGACTAAACTAAGACTGTATTTATGATGATTTTTTTCTTTTCAGTTCCCCAACATTTTTCATCTCTCTCTTTCATCCTCCTAATTACCCCACATAATCCCAATAACTTTCAAACTCATCAGATATTTTGATACTGATATATGATTATACACCTATAAATATATACACACTCATACAAACTGCTGATTTCATTTAAAGTTGCTTTTATTTAAGTGTGTTTGGGCAAGAAAATTTGAAATAGATAATGTATCAGAGAGCTAGTCCCAGTAGAAGACACAATTATCATATCTCATAGAAGCAGCATTCATTGAAACGACTAAGACAAGACCTCAGGAAGTATTGAATCCATGGGATCTGGAAATGTTTTCATTATTTTTTTATTTATGTTAAAAACAATCTTGCTTCACATGTCAATCCCAGCTCCCTCTCCCTCCCCTCCTCCCCCGCCCTCAACACCAGGTACCCCAGTCCCCCACCCAATCTCCACTCTGATCCCCAAGGAGGCACTCCAGGGTGGATTTCCAGTAACTTTCATTTCATCCAGGGCAGGGCCTAGGCCCCCCCACCAGAGTCCCGGCCGAGCAAGTCTATTTGTATGCCAGGGATAAATACTACCCAAGGCCCCATAGATTACCTAGGACTCCTCACTGACACCAACATTCAGGGGGTCTGAGTCAGTCCCATGCTTTCTTCACATCCATCAATCTGGAGTCTAAGAGCTCACCCTTGTTCAGGTCAACTGTTTCTGTGGGTTATATCAGCCCATTCTTAACTCCTTTGTCCATCAGTTCTCTCTTTCTGACACTGGATTCCAAGAGTTCAGTTCAGTGTTTGTCTGTGAGATTCAGCCTCTGCTTTCATCAGTTGCTGGAGGAAGGTTCTGTTTCCTAGACGCTCTGGCAGTGTAATTGTATCCTGGCACTCTCCTTATTCATGTCTAAAATCCATTAATGAGTGAGTACACATTGTTAAAGAATTTAGCGTTTGTGAATTCACCAATATAAGTCATTTCTTCCTAGACTCCAGAATGTAGTAAAAAAAATTTTTGTGCTTCTTGATATCATGTCACATTATTGCATCTATACAGCTACATAGACAAAAAATAATTCTACAGAAATAATGAGCATTATGAAATGGAAGCATTTCTATGATGCACAGTCCTTCAATGACATACTCAACAAAAAAATGCAGACATCTCAATGGTTCTTTTGTACATGTAATTTAAATGCCCTGTCAATAAAATGTTGAAGGTGAACTAATGATATATTGCTCTCCTCCTCAGATGTGGATCAGTGTGTGAAGTGCCCAGATGACCAGTATGCAAACACAGAGCAGAAAGAGTGTATGCACAAAGCAGTGATATTTCTGTCCTATGAAGACCCTTTGGGGATGGCTCTTGCCTTAATGGCCTTGTGCTTCTCTGCATTCACAGCTCTCATTCTTGGAGTCTTTGTCAAGCATCATGACACTCCCGTTGTGAAGGCCAATAACCGGAAGCTAAGTTACATCTTGCTCATCTCACTCTTCTTTTGTTTCCTCTGCCCCCTGCTCTTCATTGGCCGTCCAAACTCAGCTACATGCATCTTGCGGCAAATCATATTTGGAGTCATATTCACTGTGGCTATTTCCACTGTGTTGGCCAAAACAGTTACTGTGCTTCTGGCTTTCAAAGTCACAGCCCCTGGAAGAAGAATGAGATACTTCCTGGTTTCAGGAGGCCCTAACTACATCATTCCCATCTGTACTCTCATCCAAGTTATTATCAGTTCAGTCTGGTTAGGAGTTTCTCCTCCCTCTGTTAGTGTTGATGCTCACTCTGAGCATGGCCACATCATCATTGTCTGCAGCAAGGGTTCAGTCACTGCCTTCTACTGTGTCCTAGGATACCTGGGCTGCCTGGCTCAGGTGAGCTTCACTGTGGCTTTCTTGTCCAGGAATCTGCCTAACACATTCAATGAAGCCAAGTTGTTGACATTCAGCATGCTGTTGTTCTGCTGTGTATGGATTACCTTCCTCCCTGTGTACCATAGCACCAAGGGTAAGGTCATGGTAGCTGTGGAAATTCTCTCCATCTTGGCTTCCAGTGCTGGGATGCTGGGATGCATCTTTGTTCCCAAGTGCTACATAATTTTTGTAAGACCAGAAAGAAAAATCTCTTCAAAATATCACAGAGAAATCAACTTTCTAAACTGATAATTTGTTAATTCTATCTCACAACTATATTGCAAGCTCATATGGAAGACCTATCTCTTTTAGAATGACTATAACATTTTCATGACTACTACTGTTGTCTACATCATCTCATATAGTCTTTCCCTCAGTGACTGGTTTCATAAGACCTAGACATTGGAGTATCATGCAGAGTGGAAATATTCTTTTCTGCTTTAAAATACAGAACTGTTCAAAATATATTCTTTGTTCTTTTTTAAATATCTGAGTGAATGAATGGCTTTAATGGCTGTAGAGCACTAAGAGCAAAATATAAGACACTTTTGATACAGCAAGCTTTGTTTTGCAGTCATATTTAAAACAATGTTCCCTTGAGGGAGGGGAGAGGGAGCCAGGAAAAAGAGAGGGGGATAAGAGGAGGGGAGAAGTTGTTATGGAGGAGCAGGAAGTTTGAGTTTAGGTAAGAATAGAAGAGAGCAGGATGAGAGATACCATAATAGATTGAGTCATTATAGGCTTGAGGAGAGAGATGACACTAGTGAGATCTCCAGAGATCTAAGAGGATAACACTGCCAGGAAAACTAAACTATATTGGAGAGACTACATTAAATGCCCCTCCTTGACGCTAAGGTTGATGACTACCTTATATGCCATCCTAGAACCTTCATCCAGTGACTTATGGAAGCAGAGACAGATACCCACACCTAAAAACTGAACTGAACTCCTAGTAACTAGTGACAGAGATAGAGGAGTGATGAGCAAAGGGGTCAAGACCATGATGGTGAAACCCACAAAGACAGCTTACTGGATAAGGGGAAGCTCTTGAATCCCAGACTGATGCCTGAGAGGCCAACAGGAGACTGATTCAGACTCCATGAATGCAGTCTCAGTGAGGAGACCACAGAAATCATTGGGGCCTTTTGTAGTAGATCAGTGTTTACCATGGTTTATGAATGATCTTTGGGAGCCCATTCCCAATAGAGGGATCCTCTCTCAGCCTGGACACATGAGGAAGGGCATAGGTCCTTCCCTGGATGAAATGACAGACTTTAGAGATTCCCCCCTAAGGAGGGCCTCACCCTCCCTGGTTAATGATGTGGGGATTGGGTGGGGGACTGTGGTGGCTGTTGGAGGGACAAAGGAGGAGGGGTGGGAGAAGGAGCTGAGGTTGACATGTGAAACATTCATGTTTGTAATTTAAATAAAACTTTACAAATAAACAATGTTCCCTATGATGGGGGGCGGTGAAGGGAAGAAGATTCTTATGCATCCTAGGACTTACAAAAGAAAAACATGGAAGAGAGAGTATGATGTCTTACAAAAAAGAGAGGAAGTCTTTTACAGAAGCTGGATTCAGCCTTTACAGTTAATAGCATAATTTCAGGAGACATTAATAGATATGCATCATCAAAATTCTCTTCAGGACTTCATAGAGCAATTTATCCAAAGGATTAGATGGCCTCTTCTGGGCTTCAAGTTTACCTGGACTCACATGTGCATGTAAACATGCACACACACACACACACACACACACACACACACACACACAAATATATAAATTTTTAAATAATTGAATAATATTAAATACTCTGATTTGTGTTTTGCCTTTTCAAATTGCTCTTAAGATATCAGAATTACAAATAATCTACAGATAAAATATGGTATTTAGAAGAAATGTTTGTGTCTATTTTTATGCACTTGACATAAGAACCTTCAACTTTTTATTGTCCCATAAGGTGCACATATAGAAAGCCGATAAGGGAAGAATGTCATGTTATATTGATGTCTTGTAGTATGTAGGAATTTTAAATGACACTGACCATCAAAATTCTCTGCATCTGTCACATTTCTATTAAAGAAAAACATGGAGTCTTAATACGGCTGTGTTTTGGTACAACTACCAAAGACAATATTTTCTAGCATAAATATCCCTGGTTCCATATTACAAGGGTTAGATTTCTGTTATAAAAAATAATTTTATTTTCATTACCAGGATAAGGGTGTTTTCTAATATACATGCAGAAACCTGAATACTGCTTTTATTCCTAAGAACTGGTATTTTGAATATTACTCAATTTGGTTACTGGGATGTGAATCTAGGTACTCCAAATTAACAGGCACTGCTCTTAAGTGCTTTTATAGCATTTCACTTGGCTGTTAACATTTAACAGTTGGAAGCTAACTTCTTTGCCTGAGTGTTGAAGTGATAGGGTCATTAACGTTACTGATAGTAACTGCCCTTCAATTAGGATGAGTGCTATCCATCAATGTTGTATACCAGTATGTATTCACATCCTGAGGAAGCTCGACACCATGAAATTTGTCATGAAAATTTATTAAATTCTATTTTGGTTGCCAGACTTTTAAACTGTTAAGTTGATGATAGAGAGATGTCTTAGCATTGAAGAACAGGGGCTCCTTTTTCATAGGGCCTATGTTTGATTTCCAGTAGCCACATCATTGCCTTCAAGCGCATGTAGCACATGTTGTAGACGATGTGGAATGCAGAGGAACAAGAATTGTATGTGGTGCCCACATATGTATGCAGGAAAAACACTCATAAATAAAAATAAATATAAAGGCAGGACACAGCTGATCACTGTGATGCCTGTTTAAAATGCTTAATACTTAGTAACAAAATTCTGGTGTGTGCAATATCAAAAAAACTAGTAAAATTTTTGTTCTGGCATACTAGCTTTTCTACTGACCCTATCTCAGACATCACATGTAAGTCAAAGTCTAACGATAAAACAATTGACTTTCATGAATTTGAGAAAAAGAAAGAAATATAAAGTGAAGGAAGTCTACTGGAGCTATTCAATAGATTAAAATGGGGACACAAAAATTACCTAGTCAGATTTTAACTTTAAAAACAAAACAAATTGAAAGAAGAAAAAATGTAAAATTTAAAATGTTGGTTTAAAAGACTGGAAAGCAAGATTTGCATAATGTAGTTTGTAAGATTGAGCATGTTGTTCAGATTCCTCTCTGGAACAGGATGAAGTTTATTAACTCATCATGAGTAGATAGAATATTGAAGGGCAAAGATGGACAGTCTCTAAAGAACTGTAGAAAATGTGAGTGAAGGTTAGAGTATATTTGAAAATATCCTTAACATAAAAAGGACATTAGAGGCAGACCTGTGAATGGCAACATGCTCAAAAGACAAAAAAGAAATTATCACCCAGACTTACTCTAATCTCTGAAAGTAACATTATCACAAGGCCCATCTATTCATCAAATTCTAAAGTAAGCATCTTTGTTTTTCCTCCAGGAATGCAATGTATTAATAGTTATTTAGCCAAAATGAACTCATGGAATGTATAAATATGAATGAAGACAGCAAGAGTCAATAAAGGTTACTGGAGAGGCAACTAAGCGATAAACCACATGTCTCACTGTTGTGAGACAGCAGGGTCAACCTACAGTAACAATAGAAAAATAAATGGAGGTTTTAGTGACAGTCTAACAAGTAGCAAGTAGTTATTTAAGCCACAGCACTTGGGGAAAATAGGTGTGTTGTAAAATACTTTCTTTATGTACAGGCAATGGTAGACTACCTCCCTCTGAATCATAAAATGAAGTGGAAAGAATAGAGATATTATAGAGGACTTTGATATATATACATGGTTGTCTACCCATATGGATTTGACTCACTTGCATGACTGGTGGCCATATAAGACAAAAAAAGGCATTGTATTTCCCAGAACTGTAATGAGAAAACTTCTAAGTTTTGTGCACCTATCCAGGACCATAATAGAGAAGACAGTGTTTTCAAGTTGTTATACATAGCTTTAGATGTGTATTTTCTAAGTCTTTTAAAAGTTAGCAACACATAAATCTTAAAATTAGGTGATGAATTTAATTCTTTAATTGTACTTAGGTACATGAGATTGGAAAAGTTTTTTAAATCCTGAGGTTTCTGGAATCACAAATCAAAGTTACATTGACAATCCGTCATTCTACTGAAAAGAGTTATCATCAAAAAGTGAGGGATAACTTTTTGTGAACAAGCACAAGTGGAAAGAGAGATACCATATGCATTTTTACTGAGTCTAAACTAAAGTCACCCCATGGAAATTATAATGTGCTGCTTCAATCAATGAAAGAAGAACTGTCATATGCTCCATCTACAATTCTTCTGCAACATTCTGAAATCAGCATAGCACAGAGACATTTGCTCATGAATTTTCATCAAAAGATTGCTCAGCATAACCAAGACATGGAAGCCATTTTTACCTGTCTGAACCATATACACAGATATTTATATTCAGGGACACTTGCTATTTGGTATTTATCATGTGTGTGTGCGTGCGTGCATGCGTGCGTGTGTGTGTGTGTGTGTGTGTGTGTGTGTGTGTGTGTGTGTAAAAGTCACATGCATACTCTAAGTTTGGAAGCCAGAAGAGGTTGTCATATATCCTGGCAATGGATATACTACAGAATGTATGCAGCCCATTGGCACAGGAAACCACTTCTTATTATAACCCCAGTAGCACAGACACTAAAAACCTCAGCCAACCAATGGGACCACCTGAAACTGAAAATCTGTAAGGCAAAGGACAGTGAAAATAAGACAAAATGACAGCCTGCAGAATGGTAAAACACCTTCACCATTCCATCTGAGAATGGACTGATGTCCTAAATATACAAAACACAAGAAACTAGACATAAAAATCCAATATATCTAAGATAATTTGGAATCAATCAATCTCAAGACCCAATTATACCCCTCTTGCACATATACCCAAATGATGCCTGATTATACCACAAAGATACTTGCTCAACAATTTTCATAGCAGCATTATTCATAATTGCCAGAACTTGGAAACTACCAAGATGGCTCTCAATTGAAGACAGCATGAACAAAATGTGGGACACTTAAACAATGTAGTACTACTCAGCTGTAAAAAAAAAAGATAACCCCATGAAATTTTCAGATAAATGGATGGAACTAGAGGAAACCATCCTGACTGAGATAAACCAGTGTCAGAGAGACAAACCTGTTATTTATTCACACATAAATGTCAATTAGATGAAAAGCAAAGGAAAGCCAGAATATAATCCTCAGTTCCAGAGAAGATAGGCAAAAAAGAGAACACTAAGAGGGATGCATGAACGGCATAGGTAATGGAAATTAGATAAGATCTACTGGGTATATTGTAATGGGTGTTGGTAAGGGATAGATCGGGGGAGATGAGAACATGAAGGGAAGGAATGGTTGAGGGGGTAGGTTGATGAAGTGGAAGAGCAATGATATCTTAATAGAGAGAGCCACTATGGGGATAGGGAGAAACATGGTGCAAGGGTAATTCCCAAGAATTCACATGGATGACTCAATCTAAGTCGCCTAGTAATAGTGAAGAAGAGGCTGAAACTGCACTACCTCTGTAATCCGATTAGCAAATACCCCAACTATTATCATAGAGCCTTCATCCAGTAACTGATGGAAACAGGATCATGGAATGCACAATCACACACCACACAGAGCTCCAGGATTCGAGGCAAAGAGAGGGAGGAGGAAATAGCTGAGAAAGGGAGGTTAATTTGATGATGGAGAAATCTGCTGTATCTTTAAAATTTATCAACTCTAGTCCAACACCTGTAGAGATTCCAGGGTTCTGAACCTACGCTAACTGTATTTAGGAGACAATTGTGAAGCTTAGACTACCTCAGGGGCCCCTGACAATAGGACCATGATATAAACCTGGTACAGAAGCTAACTTGTTGGAACACATTCCATGTACTGGTATGCAATTCTCAGCCTTGATTCATGGGACGTGTCTATGCCAAATTCTGGAAAGTGAAGGACATCCATCTGCCAAAGTGCATTCCTGTGAATACCTTTGGGATTACAACCTGCTGGTAATGGAATTTGTAGAATGAGGAAGTGGGGCAATTTCTTACTATTTCTTGGCTTGTTGCCAGGTGATAGGAAAGTCCTTCTTTAAACTTTTGCTGTTAATATGGTGTTTCTTATGAAATTCTGAATCTTCCGACACACTTCCTATTAATAAATGATGAATTTCATCATTGCCTTGCGCCAGAGGACCTGGCAGACCTGTACGGGATCTGATGTGTGTTATGTATATAGGATGAGTCCTGTTTCTGATGGTTTCCTGTAATTGAAAAAACAATGAGATTAATTCAGTGACATCATGAACAAATTCTGCTATCTCAATGTGCAAGACAACTCTCTCTGCATACTGAGAATCCATGACTATATTGAGAGAATCTGTAAAGTCTTTAAGTACCATGAGAATGGCATATAACTCCACCTTTTATACGGAATTGTAAGGGCTTTGAACTACTTTACTTATATTTCCTGATTTATGCCCTGGCTTACCTGATTTGTTTGCATCAGTGTAGAAGGTAAGAACTCCAGAAATAGGTGTTTGCCTCATGATATGCGGAAAAATCCAAATGGTTTTCTTTATGAATTTGATTCTCTGTTTTGGGATAGATGTTCCTAATAGTTCCCAAAAAGTCACTGCAAGCTTTTTGCCAATACTCATTGTCCTTCTATAAAGAGGGAATTTCCTCATTAATCAAAGGTACAATAATTTCAGTTGGGTCTCTTCCAGTCAGTTGACGAAGCCTTAACTTACCTTTTAATATCAAATCGGGGATCTTTTCTATATACGCTTTCAGGTTTTTTTTTTCAGGGTACGCTGACCAGATTGGGTTCTTTTTTTTTTTCAGTTTAAATTTAGATAAGAAACAAGGTTGCTTCACAAGTCAGTTTCAGGTCCCTCTCCCTTTCCCTCCCCTCCTCCCGTGCCCTCCCCCCAACTCCCCCATTATCCCCTCATTTCCCCAGGGAGGGTGAGGCCCTCCATGGGGGTGTCCATAGTCGGTCATTTAATATAGGGCAGGGCCTAGACCCTTCCCCAAGAGTTCAGGGTGAGAGTACACCTCACATTGTTGGATGGGAGTCCAAAGTCCGTGTGTATACTTGGGATGGGTACTGATCTGTTGCCCAAGGCTCAATAGATTACCTAGGCCTCCTCACTGACACGCACATTCAGGGGGTCTTGATCAGTCCCATGCTAGATTCCCAGGCTGATGCCTGGAATTCAAGAGTTAACCTTTGTCAGGTCAGCTGTTTCTGGGGGTTAAACCAGCCCAGTCTTAATTCCTTTGGTCATCAGTCCTCCCTCTCTGTTACTGGCTTTCTTGAGTTCAGCTCAGTACTTAACCAAAGCAGTCTGCCTCTTCTTCCATCAGCCACTAAATGAAGTTTCTGTTTCCCAGACTCTCTGGCCATGAGATTGTAGGCTGGCACTCCTCAGATCTATGTCTAAAATCCATATAAGAGAGAGTACATGCCATGTTTCTCTTTTTGTGACTGGGTTACCTCACTCAGGATGGTTTCTTCTAGTGTCATCCATTTACCTGCAAATCTCAGGATTCCATTGTTTTTTTCTGCTGAATAGTACTCCATTGTGTAAATGTACCACATTTTCTCTATCCACTCTTCGGTTGAGGGACATCTAGGTTGCTTCCAAGTTCTGGATATTACAAATAATGCTGCTATGAACATAGTGGAACAGACATCTTTGTTGTATGAATGGGCATCTTTTGGATATATGCCTAAGAGTGGAGTTGCTGGGTCTTGTGGTAGGTTTATTCCAGTGCCTGCAGATCGCCTGGGAACTGCACAGAGCTTCCAATCCCAACGGGAGCCAAGCACCCCAGACTCCAGGTCTTCTCTCCCACCAACGACGCTTTCAGTTTTTTATTTTGTTTGTGTGGCAGAAATACACATTCTAGTATGATATCATCCCTCTGCATTAATATTCCTGAGGTGTATTCTCTAGATGGTAAAATAACCAGAATGCAGTCCAGTTTTGGATCCACACGGTCCACATGTGCTTCTAATATTCTCTTTTCTACCCATTCTAATTCCTTTTCAGCCTCAGCTGATAGTACTTGTGGGATATTTGTCTCCTTTTAAAGCCATTTTCAGGTGTTTTAAATCATGCCTTTCTACACTAATAATTGTCTGTAGTTGAGAGATTTCTCCTAATAGTTTTTGAAGATCATTAAGAGTCTGGTAACCATATCTTCTGATCTGTACTTTCTGTGGTCTAATTTTCTGTGAGTCTATTTTATAACCTAAATAATTAATAGAATATCCTCTTTTTATTTGTTCTGGGGCAATTTGTAATTCCCAGTGAGGCAAAGTTTCCATGCCATTCCTGCTTCACACACCTTTTCCGAAGCACCTTTGTTTGAATCAGACAGTAATATGTCGTCCATATAATGATATATTAATCATTGTGGAAATTGCTTATGAATCATTTCCAGAGATTTATGCACAAGATAATGACACAAAGTCAGGCTATTTAGCATACCTTGAGGCAAAACCTTCAACAGGAACCTCCGTACCAGTTGGGAATTATTATTGGTAGGTACTGTGAAGGCGAACTTTTCTCTGTCTTTTTCTTGTAATGGTATAGTGAAAAAGAAACCTTTTAAATCTATAACTATAATTGTCCAATCTTTAGGTATTAGAGAAGGTAGTGGCATCCCAGGTTGTAGAGTGACCATAGGCTGAATTACCTTGTTGATGGCTCTAAGATCAGTAACCATGCTCCATTTCCCCGACTTCATCTTGGTAACAAAACAGGTAAATTCCATGCACTAGTTGATTGCTCAATATGTTCAGCATCTAGCTATTCCTGAACTAACTTCTCCAAAGCCTCTAACTTCTCAGATGTAATAGGCCATTAACCTACCCAGACAGGTTCATCTGTCAGCCATTTCAAGGGTAGAGCTTTTGGTTGCTCTGTAGCTTTGTCACTAGCATCCCTAGTTCTGTACAGCCTCTATGTTTGGCATCTGTTTTCTGTAATGCCTTACAATATTGTTTTTACCACCAAGTGTTTGTCTATGGTTCATATCTGATACAGGAGGAATGTTAATCTGTGTATTCCACTGCTGTAATAGATCACATCACGACCCCAGAGATTTATAGCAATATCTGCAGCATATAGCTTTAACCTTCCTCTCTGTCCTTCTGGCCCAATAAAGTCAATTCATCTAGTGCTAGAGATAGGGCTCCAAGCCCTAAGAATTGAATGTTTACCTTTCTTAGAGGCCATCTCGAGAGCCAAGACTTCTGATTTAGGATAGTGATGTCAGCACTAGAGTCCCAAAATGTCATTAATCACTGTATTATTTACTTTAACTGGTAACTTGGCTCTATCATTTTATATAGACGTTTGCCAAAATATACGTTTTTTTATTTCCTCCTTATATAATTATAATTGATTCATCCTCTGTAACTAATGTATTATCCAGTGCCGTATTATTTGCAATGGGCATTGGATCTTCTAATTGTCCTGGGAGAGGCTGTCCTCCACTGTTACTGGGAAAGACCAGATCACCTTTGATCTTGGGGCCTTGAAGAGAGGCCCCTGGACCCGCTTCCTGGCTGTAAAGGTTTACCTTGTCTGTCTGTGGTCGACCAGCATTCCTTGGTCCAGTGTCTTCCTTTGCCACACCTCCTGCAGAGAACAGAAGGCCGAGGACTTCTATCAAAGAATTCCTGGTAGAAGCATTTTTTCTAGGAATGTTTCATCAACAGTTCCTACTCAGATGTCCTATTCTACCACAGTTAAAGCACTTAGCATCTTTATATCTGTTGAAATTTTTGGAGATTGCCTCCCCTAGCCCTGGCCTCTATATCATCACAGGTAAGGCATTTGGCATCCAGGTGCCTCCTCAAACCTGTAGAAATCGCTTCACCTACCCAAGATCCCGTATCCTGACTTTTATATTCAAGGTTATCTGTATATAGGACCCATTCTTCCAATGATACTGATCTTATTTTTAATGGCCAAAGTACCTGCTTGCATTGTGGATTTGCATTCTCATATGTCAGAGATTCTATAAGGAGTCACCTAGATTCTGGATTTGTTACTTGTACTTCTATTGATCTGGCCAATCTCT